TCTTTAATTTATCCTCCGCAGTGCAGCCATTTTTACCCTGGAGAATCTTAAAGCCCATGTAAGAGTGCCCTGAATACTAAGCTGTTAATTTTCCTCCGGCTCCAGTGAAGCGGTCCAGAGAGGAGCACGAAGCAGCGGGTTCTGGCGCCGAGCCACACAAGAAGAAGCAGAAAGAAGAGAAGAAATCCGAGCAGGACGGCTCCTCCCCCTCAGCGCATTACCACAGGTTAAAGATCCCAGTTAACATCTGATCGGCCCGTTTTCACTTCTCACAAACCCGATTTGCTCTGAAATGTCAAAGCTCAAGGTTACAATGAGAGGAAACCTTTAATGCTCTGGAGCCCATCTTTGTGTGGCGCTACAGTCCTGAACTCTGACCCCTGTCTCAGTGCATTTACTCCCCTTCTCTGGGTTTGGTTCTGTTTCAGTTTGTCAGAACCGTCGGTGATGGAGCGGCTGATAGCGCTGGAAAAGCTGATGATGAGCTGCCAGGACAGAAACCGGCAGAGCGTCCTGAAGGACGTGGCCCAGTCACGCAAAGAGATCCAGGTGACACACCAACCTGCATCTCTCTGGGCTCCTGTCCAAATGTTCCATATTTCTGTAACACTTTGTTTGACGGAGTGTCAAATGAAGTCCGACATGACACCTGTGATGAACAGGAAGAAGTCTGACTGGGGATGAGAATCCAGAACCGGTTCTTAGTAGTTCAGTTACTTGGAATCGTTGGGCTGCGTACGTAACGGTTCTGCTTATTGGTTCCCGTGACGCATCGTACACGCGCCGTATTTTGCATTAGAAAATATCCAAGATGGCGTCACGACTGAAGCTCCGAAATGTTTATATTTCACCAGAAAAGTCGATTCTGGAGCCGGTTGGGTCAGAACTTTAATCACAACAAAAGAAGGAAATGCCTCCAGCATCCGACCGCACAGCATGCAACCAATTTGTACGAATGTAAAGTATTGATGTTGCTTAGCAAAATATATTGTATGGAACTCTGGTGGTGCCAAAAACTATATATTTTGGTCATTTTGATTTTTGTTCTTCAGTAAAATGTACTTTATTTTTATTCATTTCAGAAATTTAACTAAAAACATGAAATCACAGTTTTGTAGATGGTGCCAAATGCAAAAGATCTACGCATTTTGTCTTATTTTTTTCTTTACTGAAACTTGTCTAAATTAGCTTTAGTTTACCTCAGCTGCATCAGTCTGTACACGGGTAATGTCTACATGTGGATCTATGGTTTCTAAAAGTTTGTAGCCTTATTTCATATTTCTAAAAGGTTTTTTATACTGTTTAATGCAAAAAAAAAAATCTGCAGATTTACAAAACATCCAAATTATTTTATGTTCATCCACATTTTCCTGAAACTGTCACAGCTGCTGTGACACTTTGGAGTCTCCTCCAAGAGTTTGCTTTATTTTGATAATATTATTGAAATTGTTGGTAATTGCTGAGAAAAACCAAATTACATCAGGGTAGTCCAGGAAACCCAGCAGGTGTCTGAAATGTTCAGTCTCTGCTCGGCCCATTTAGTTAATCTGTTCTGTTTGCTGGGGAATCTGGATGTAAAAGCCTAAAAAAGTAAAACTTTCTGCTCACAAGCTCGGCTGATGCCGCTGTGATTCAGATTTCATGTTTTTGTTGCTGCAGGAGCTGAAAGAGAAGCAGAGGGAGTTTGAGAGAAAGGCGACGTTGCTCAGCCAGCTGGCGAAGGAAAAGTCAAGTTCGAAAGATGAAGCTGCGTTCAAGAACACTCTGGCTCCCCTGCAGAGGAAACAGCCAAACGTTACAAAACCCAACAAGCAGCAGGCGGTGGTCCAACCGATGCAAGGTCAGAACGATGGAAACCGTTTTGTTATGGAGGAGGAGGGCGGTGAATCCATCTTTATCCAATTTTTGGCTTTTGAAGATTTAATTATTGGAAAATTAGGATTTTTTTTTTTTCTTTTTTATTCAACCAATGTCTACCATTTTGTTTGATAAGTGTGTTTTACAGCTTTTACTTAAATATGGGTCAAATCTATCGCATAATATAAGTCTCAGGCTATATTTCTGTTTTTTTAGTACAATAATAAAATTTTCAACATAAAAAATAACCAAGATATTTCTCTTGTTAAAACAACTTTTTCCTCCCAATTTTAAGACGTTCTAGTGAATTTGTGTCTTTATTCTGATAAGATTATGACTGTATTTTCGTAATTAAATGAATCTTGTAGTCTGGCTCTGATACTAAATCGCAACTCGCAGAAAAAAAGTCATTTGGATTTTTTTTCCTTTTTTTGGAATAGAAAGGATGAGAATAAAATTAAAGTCAAATCTGATTAGAAAAAACCGGTAATTTTCTTAAGCTGCATCGCTCAGCCCTATTAAAAGTTACATTCTTAATTAACGGCAGGCTCTTCTGTCCTCTAAACGTCTTTGAATCAGACGGAGCTAAATGTGATACATTTGGCACAGAGCTCCATAGTTTCTGCTTCCATAAAGTTTGTTTGGCTCTGATTTTTGTCACGTTCATCGATGAGATGTGAAATGATCCAAGAACTCTGCTACGGTTCTGCAGCCAGTAACGGGTCAGATGACGATGAGGAGGGGAGTAATGTTTCCCCTCCTCAGCATCGTGGCGTGAAGCCCAGAAAACCGTCACCGTTTTCTTTCCTCCGTTTAAAACTGTTTATCATCACTGTGGCGCTTAAAGCCCTCAGTGAAACGGAGGAAAATGATTATCTGAAAATGTGGCATGTTTTTGTTTTTCCATTTTGGTTTCAGCTGTTTATTTAAACATAACAAAGCGCTCATCTGCTTTTGATGTCTGGAAAATGAGCCGTTTCAAAAACAATCTGCCAGTGAAACTAGCACTTTATCATCAGTATTAATGAGTTATTTACTCAAAGCAAACTTTTATAAAGTTACTTGGAAATCAGTTTTGTCTGATTTCAAGTTTACTCGGATATCTACACCCTTTTCGTTCTGCTTCTAAAAACAGCCCAAGCAATTAAACATCCATCCCTTTAGCTATAAGAGAGCACTGCGCCGTTGCCTAGCAACCCCAGTGAGTTCCGCCTGTTACCTAGCAACCCAAGCTGAACACCAGCACATTTGATCAGCTGGTTTTACCACTGTGTGCTCTACAATGGCTGCTGGAAAAGAAAAGTGTTTTGTTTACTTGCATCCAGAAACCACTTGCTGCCTTTTTGTTGGTTGTACAGAAGGCTCCACTTCTGCTTTTCATAGATGTACAGTTGTATACTTTTGCATAAGTTTACAGCCATTTTCTCATAAGTGTAAATGTTGAGTTGTATTTCTGTGGCCAGCAGCAGATTGTTTTGCTTTAAAGAGACAGGACGCCCTGAAACAACTCATTCAGAAAAAAATTCAATTTTATGCAAAAAAAACAAATGTAATGAACATGTTTTGTGTAGGCTGTAAACTGTCCTAACATGTTGAAGGAAGCAGAATGGGTTTAAAGCATTAAATGTCGCCTTCTCCTCTCCTGCAGTGTCTCAGCTCCAGCCTCTTCAGCATCTCGCCGTCGTCAGGAAGCAGTCGGTCTGCGTCACCAAGGAGAAGAAGCTTTCAGACCTGGTCGAGGTCAGCAGCCGACGCTTTGGCTTGGCACATCTGCAACGTTGCATCCATCAGATACGAGCTGATGCAGAGCATTTTCTGTTGACCACACACACACACTCTGCAGGATGTCAGATTTATGGGTCAACTGTCTGGCCTCGTCTTCTAGAGCCGTTACAGATGAACACATGTTTACGGTTGAAATTAGCCGGTCAGATTATAATCTGGTTATGTTTTTCTACGGCAGCCTCCAGATGGTAAAGAAAATGTGGAGAGTTCCTGGGAGTCCCAGCTGGACAAGTCTGTTCTGAATGAGTCCAAACAGAAAATCCTGCACATCCTGAATACGGGCTGCCTCAAAGAGCTGAAAGGCCTGCAGCAGATCGGCGACAAAAAGGCCAAACTCATCCTGGGCTGGAGGGAAATCCAGGGCCACTTCACAAAGGTAGGAGCAGGAAAAGTGTTTTATTAAACATCCTGGACCTCAAATGACTCTCAGTCACTTCCATTTATTTTTGTTTATTGCAGTTGGAAGATTTGATAAACATAGAGGGCATGACTCAGAAGAGGTTTTCTTCCTTCATGAAGGTAAATTGACAGTAACTTTAGTATTATTATCAGATGCAGCTCAATTTTCTCATAACAAAGACGGATGAGTCAGAAAGAAACCTGACATCAGTTTTGTTTCTGTTATGCTTTTAAAAAAGAATAAAAATACCAAAATTATTCAAAAATAATTTTAAAAACCTACTCAACAAACTAAACATGAACCATTTTAAGCTTTTTGTGTGTGTAGGAATGAAGTCAATAGCAACTATTTCATGTTTAAATACTGAAACCAAATCTGTTTATTTTGGTGTTCAAATATTCCAGAGTTCTGCTTTTGAAGCTAAATTATTTTTCCAGGTGGAAACGGGATTTTCGCTCCGTTATCCGTTTCGTTGTTGTTGCCTTTGTTTACATCCAGACGCTCCGGGGAAGTTGCCCGTTGCTGCCTGAGTAAAAACCGTACAAGTTGGGATGAATCTGTTACTGGCAGCTTTGGGCCTCTTCGATTGTTTTCTTTGTTTTCCGCATCCAGACTGTTTCTAGCTGCTTCTTATTTTTTTAACTAAATATGAGAACCTGACTGGTTGCCCTGACCGGCAGGTGGAGTGTTTACGTTCTGCATGACTTGATGGATTCCCGCTCTGACTTAATCATGTGATAAAACCCAGTCATGCTGCAGAAACTATACTGAGAGCATAAAAGATAAAACAAATCGTAACATGATGTAAAAAGGAAAAGGTGACGGCAATAAGCAAAGTAGATTTTTGAGGATTGTCGTGAGTTAAAGCTCTTTGTGAATCTAAATTTTCTGGAAGAGGAACAACATGCATCGTATCTATATGAACGTCTCTTCATGAAGAATCGTTTCACATTTTTTCTATTCTGCTACCTTAAAAGTTCCTGTTTTTATGTTTTCTGAATGCGTCCAAGTTTAACAATGTGACAACCACAGTTTTCTTTAACACAGCTGACACAAAATGTTAAAATGTCTTTGATTTAGCGTACTATGAACCATGTAGCTCTTTTGTGCTATGGAAAGGCAGTCGGCCATCTTGTCCACTCATCAGCTATAGTTTAACTCAGTAACTTGCAATTTGCTATATTGTAATTTTTATTCTTTTTTACTTATTTACTCAAATTTAATCAGTTATTCTACTTTTTGTATTTGTTGGATGTTTACTTTAATTAAAATATAGAAATGCTTCAATATTTGATGCTCATTTATCTTTTCTGTTTTTTTGCAGGCAAACATCTTGAGTGCCTTGGGAAAATGAACTTTTATGAACTCTTAAATATATATAATTCCTGTGACAAAGACATTTTTTTCTTTTTTGTTTCCTTTTGTAATATTTTTGTAGTAACATCTTTTTGCCTGGTGGCGGCACTCGCGTGCATTTTTAATAAACCTCACCTGAAAGCATTTCGTGTCTTAATTTTTTAATAAATGTGATCACATCTTTGGGATTTCCGCCTTGTTTCTTTATCGGTGGATAAATGTCAAACATTTTGCTTTTTTGGTTATTTTTATCGGGTTTGAGGAGAGCATGATGCTAATCCAACCCCCACCTTCCTCCTTTTTCTCCTCCTGCACGTAGCCTGGAGGATTTCACTAAACACACACACACACACACCCCTCCTCCCGGGTCCACCCTCCCATCCAGGAGTCTCCATCCATCGCAGCTCACTGCATCGCCAGGATTCACCAAACAAGCTTTCAATGCAACATTTACTACTAGATTTACTTATGTTTTACTGTTCGTTAAACATAATGTTTCACTGCGTGTGATTTTTACTTATTTTATTTTTGGGGGGAGAATTTCCCTCCCCACGATGCCAAATCCAGGGACAACCCGGCTGTAACAAGGCGTTGCAATAAAACCGTAAGTTGGATTTTTCTGTTGGAAGAGGAAACTTTGCTTACATTAAATTAATATGCGACGTCTTTTTAGCTCCATAACCATCCGCTGAATACAAATGAGCAGCAGCGGAGCTAATTAACGCGAAGCCTCGATTCCTTCCTCCCTCGTCCATCACCGTTTCCCTTTTGTCCTTTTTGTGTTAGTTTTTGCAAGTCGCTTTTGTAGAAGCAACCATATGGTGGTTAGCGGTTGTGTGCACACCTGCACAGACTAATGGCTGCCAGGGTGAAATCAAAGAAACCTGCCTTTTTATCCCCACCTCATGTCATTGTGACCCGCTTTTCTTTCTCCTCGTCTCGGCTTCACTTCAGTGGCTTGTGGACACATTTCAGGCCCCGTTTATAATGAATCTGGTGCATTTTTAATGTTTGCAAAGCATCAGCGATATAGGAAGTGATTATAAAGGAGGATGAATGTCGAACAGGATCATCGTAATTCTGAGTCTGCCTTTTTGAACTGTAAATATACTGACGGAGGATGGATTTAAATGGTGGAAAAAAATCCAAATGGGATTTTTTTTTGTGTTTTTCCCTTGACTGTGAAGTCTGCTTTGATATATTTGCATTTAATCGGTATGTAAATAGACGTAAAGCTTGTCAAATAAGCGCACTGCACTTTGACTAAATTATTCTTTTGGATAGGCATGTAAAAAAAACACACCTAAAAGCAGATTAAACATGACATTTCAGAAATGTATATCAAAATTATTAAATGCAACAAAAAACTTAACACAGATCCTTCTGTATATTGAATACCATTGGAATTTTTTATTGCATTTTTTTTTTACAGATTTTATTTTAAGGCGATTTGTTTGAAAGCAGGTAAAAGTCATATTTGAGAAAAACGAACCTAAATCGTTAAAAACAACAAACACTCTGCAGCCAATACAGTTCCTGACTGATTTTTTTAAAACCACATCCCAATTAAAATATGATCAGAGCCGCGCGGTTCTGCCCTTTTCCTGTCATTCCCGACCCACATCGTGACAGCAGCAGCTGAGTGGAATCGATGCGATCCGAGCGGAGAGCCGTGGAGGACGAAACAAAGACACGTCCACACAAACAGCGGCTGCCACTTCTGAACGATCAAACAAAGCTGAAAGCCACCTGTTGTAAATAAAGTCATACTATCAGCGCAGCTGCATTGTTTTCAACGGCAGAATGTGTAAATATTGCGTTTTTAGTGACAAACAGGCGTTTGTTTGTTGAGTAATAGTTTGGGATTGTACTGCAGTTTGAGTTTGTGTCATGGCGGAAAGCTAAAGGCGGGAAGCCTCGAAGCTCCGTTAAGATCACTAAACAGGAACCCCTTAGTAAATTTACAATACTGTGAACAATTCATTTCCCTCTAAAAGTAGAGATAAATTAACTCTGTTGAATCAAACGACTTAATTTGTTGGTACAACCTCTGTTTGCTACCAAGTTCCTCTGTGCTTTTAACACTAAATGGAGATAAAGTTCATGTTACTGGCTTTTATGTTGTAACATAAATGTAGTTTATTCACGTCAACCATTTCTAACTGTAACTTATGACAATTTCAGCTTCCTCAGGTTTGCTTTATTAGCACTGCAGCACAGCTAGGTGTTACAGGAAGCTCAGTCATTGCTTCAATGATTGTGGCAATGTTTCGGATTATCTTTTGTTTTTTTTATTATGTGCTCACCATTCTTCAGTATAACAAACTATTTTTGGTGTCGGCACTGCAGCACAGCTAGGTCTTACAGAAAACTAGAAAAGCTTTAGAACTGAAGCATCCATTGCTTCAAAGGCTGTGGTACTGTTTTAGTTTATTCACATGGCAGCCGAATCTAATAAGACATCTTCGGCTTAATTTGTAGCTTTGCAGTACAGGTAGTTCTCCCAGGAAGCTAGAAAACTTAAACACCCATTACTCCAAATATTGTGGAGTTGTTTCTGATTCATTTGCTGATTTTTTTTTAACCAGATATCTACCATTTTTAAGCATAACTGGGTCTATTTTTGGTGGTGTCACTGTAGTACAGCTATGCTCCATAAGAAGCTAGAAAAGCAGGGGTCTAAAACTCTAATCAGCTTCAAAAGTTGTGATTTGTAACTACGTTACACTGTTATGCCTCTTCAGGTTAAACTACAGACACAAACAGGACTGGACCGGAATCAGAGGCTCAACTTTGGCGTCGTCATGGCCGTTAACATGAATCCAGCTCCTGCCGTTTGGCCGGGGGAAGAACAGCCGTCGCTCATGGATCACGACGACCCCGTTTCCAGTCAGGCCGCCATCATCCCCATGCCGTGTGGCTCACCGGGGGCAGAAGAGCTCCTGCACAGCTGCAGCAGCCCGACCGACACCAGGCCGCCCCGCAGCAAGTCCAAAGGAGAACTGGTGATCGTCATCAACGAGAAACTGAAGAACGGTGAGTTCACTGCAAAAACGCAAAACCTAACCAAGTATTTTTGACTAGTCTCAAATGCAAATATCTCAGCAGATTTCAAATAAGACAAAATGAACTTACATTTAAGTTTTCAGGAAGATATAGGAGCTTATTTTAAGCCAATAATTCCTTCTTATTGATGAAAAAGTTGCAAATTATTTCACTTATAGCAAAACATTTTTCCCAACTTATAAGTGAAATAATCTGCCAGTGGAAGTAGAACTTTATCAGTATTAATGAATAATTATTTACTTAAAATAAGCTCCTATAGTTTACCAAAAAGTTCTAAGCTTTATCTTAATTCAAGTGTGCTGAGATATTTACACTACAAAAAATACTTGGTAGCATTTTGTTTTTGCAGTGTTTAATTAGATGAAAAGGAACTATATGTGTACATATACCAAAAATTATGCAATTCTCGTTTGACAGCAGAGTAGCTGAATACTCAGGTTGCACACTGTAAAAAAAAAATGTTCATGTTAAAATTGAAAAAGATCTGCGCAGTACTTTTTCTCAGACAGTTTTGTCTTATTTTACATGTCCAAAAATATTTGCAATAAAAACTAAACTGAAAATACTTGATGAGATTTTGTGTTTTTGCAGTGTTTGACCTCGAACTGAGGCAGCGGGTGGGTGGAGGTTGGGTCGCATGCAGCTGCTTACTCAGCAAGCTCTGGGAAAGTCAAATCCCTCTGCATGGAGTTGCTCCCAAGAGAACACACACACACACACACACACACACACACGCTGACTTTTTACTTGTCCTTGTCACGTTTCACGTGCAGGTAACGGGATCCACCCCGGCCCTGCAGAGAGCACCTCTCCAGTGATTTCCTCCCCTCCCAGAAGGCAGCACTCCATCTCCTACCCTCACCATGCCAAAACCAGGAAGGGCAGCCGGGCGGGCTCCATCGGCTACACCGCCTTCTCGCCCCGGCCGTCGCTGTCCCGGCACTCCAGCATCGCCACTAACCCCCCCCTGGACCGAACCAAGGTCAAAGACTACCTCCTGCTGTCCGTGCTGGCCTGCTTCTGCCCCGTCTGGCCCATCAACATCGTCGGCTTCGTCTACTCCATCATGGTAAAAACGGGTGGTGGAGAAAAGCAGCGGCATGCAGTTAGGGGTGTGGCCACCGGGGGGCACCAGCGAGAACAATTTGAGTTTCAAAAGTCGAATATTTTTGACTTTAAGGTAAAAAATAAAGCAACGTTGCGAGAGAACAAAGTCATATTTAGTGGTAATATTCTGAGTGAATAAAGTCGTAGTATTTTGAGCATGAAGTTGTGATATTACAATTGAATAGTCGAAATAACAAGAATGAACTCATAGTATTTTAAAAATAGTCGCAGTATAATGAGAATAGTCGTAATGTTATGAGAATAAAGTCGTAATATTTTCAGCCTGAAGTTGTAATATTAGAACTGAATAAAGTCATCCTGTTTTAAGAATAAAGGTGAAAGTCATAATACCATGACTTTACACTCATATTATTGTGTTCTTGTAATTTTATGACTTTATTCTTGTAATTTCCTTTTTTATCTTCTCAGTGTGGCCCTAATAATCCGTCATATTGAACTATATGGACCTGATCAAAGCATAATTAAAATCTTCTATCCTGTCTCTCTGACCCATCGGTGCCTCTCCGGTTCCTCGCCGCACGTCTCTGTTGCTGACAAACGAATGTTGGTGCCATCAGCAGCTAACGAACTTTAATATTTTCTCTTTCCAGTCGAAGAACAGCCTGGAGCAGGGGAACCTGGACGGCGCCGTGCGTCTGGGTCGCGTGGCCAAGATGCTCTCCATGGTGTCTCTAGTAGGAGGGACGGTCATCATCATCGCCTGCATTGTCAACCTGGCCAGTGAGTGTCCCAAATCTGACCTTTAACCCCTAACTGCACCTCTGTGTATCTGTGCCCAGCTGAGCTGAACTCTCCTGTTTATTCCACTTTAATATACCATCATGTCATCCCACCATATAGAGCTTAATCTGGCCCTAATCTGTAGCCGCCTGCATGCTGCGGTCCGATTGGCGTTCCTCTGTCCGCTTCTCGCCTCGTCCTGTTTGCTTCTACCAACCGTGTTGTTCCTGTATGTAAACGGCTCACAACATGAACGACTGTGTGCATTTGTTGTGTTTTTTATTTTAAATAAAAAGATTCTGAGAACAGATTAGTGATCCTTCCAGTCACTTGAATAGATTTGGGTTTTTGAAAAAGTAAAAAACGTGTTTGCACTTTGACCTCCTAGTAAAGATGTGAGAAAGAAAAGACATTGAAATAAATGTTTAGAAAACATTATTTTCTAAATTTATTAAATGTTTAAACTTATTGCAATAAATTAGAATATTATTAAAAATATGTTTTATTTCAGTAACTTGTCACGCATTTTTGAAGATTTCCAATGTTTTCAAGCTTTTTTCTATTATGTTAATTTTCTGCTTCCAGCCAATGAAAACTGGACACTTATATTATATTATATAAAATAATAATGGTTATTTATGACATTAGAATAAACATTTTTAATAAAGAAATATGTTTAGCACCTTCTTGCACATTATTTTGACAAACAAGCAGAATATTCTAATTTACTGAATATGACTGCATTAATAATTCTGGTGGCAAAGTGTTGTTAATTTATGCCATCAGTGATTTTATAAAAATAAAATAATTCACAACCAAATTAATGTGCTTTAACGTAAATGTAAAATTTATTTAAATGATTTTTACACATTTTTACCAGAGGTTTTAAAACAGTGAGGGGAACCTGAAAGGGAAAGTAAAATGTGTTTTTTCCGTCTATATTAGTTGAGTTTCAGCTGATTTTTTTTTTTTTATCTTTCCCTGCGTGTTCGCTCAGCCTTTTGGGTCTCATTAAACCAACCTGCGTCCTAATTAGCTCCGTTTCGGAACCTCTGGGACGCAGCAGACCCTTGTTTTCCCCCTCATTATGTAACTGTGGTCTGTAGATTACGTTGCAGATTACAGCTCTGACTAATACGCCTCCCTTTTCTTTTTTTAGTAAATGTGAAAACCTGAGTTTCATCCCAGGATGAAACCGGATAAGGGAAGTGAACGTCTGGCCCTCACCTGCACCACCGCCTAGTCATTACCCGGATGTGTGTCAAACTCCTGATTCACAGCGCTTTACTTAGATTCCTGTAATCTCTATACAACCCCCTCAGTTGTTGTGGAAGAAATGAGAATAATCCGAAATGCTGCTGCTTTCCGTGTCGAGTCGGAGGACAGAAAATGATTTATAAACTCTACCTGCGACTAATAACAGGGAAGTGTTTACTGGCTCTACAGCATCAATCGATACAAAATGGCCGCCAAGTCCGCCCTCCTCTGCACCGGCTTGCCTGTTAAATCCCCTCAAATACGGAAGAAGTTGCAGGATTTACAATGCAGTGGAAGAAACACTTTGAACCACACTGCGTCCTTTTTTGTTTCAGACTGTCCTCCGTGACTTTCAGCACTTCAAAACGCCCCACATCTTGTGTTTGAGCCCCAGCATATGGGCGGTAAAAGCGGATGAAAGAGAGAAGGGAAGGGTTTAACTCGGACTAGGATTATGGAAAACCTCGCACAGAAGGCACGCTGCAAGGAAAATACGTGCCAAATAAAAGGAAAGTCAGTGGGAAGCTGCTTGCTTTCTCTCCTGACAGGAATATGAAATGTGTTTTTACTCTTCCGCTACGTCACTCTACGCCACTGGGAGCGAAACACTGCTGTAGCAAAATCCAGTCCGGTTAAACTGCATCGTCTCAACTCACCTTTTTTATAACGTTTGTAAACAATCCTTTCCAGACAGAATGGTGACGCCGTTAATGAACGCTGAACTGTGTGTTGGGAGCCGCGTTTCCGTTACAAATGTCCCTAAAGCTTTATCAATATTATGCTAATGTAAAAAAATAAAATAAAAATTCGCAACTGTGGTGTTGCTATTAAATAAGAAACGTAATTTAAATCACATCTGAATGAGTTTGTTCATGCATAAGTTGCTAAAAACATTGTCATCCTCCCACCGCTTCCTGTCGTTGTCTTCTTCGTGTTTGCGCCAGTGTCAACATCCGGTTGTTGATCACGTGACTCGTGTGACGGCAAAAAGTGTTTACATTGCAGATTGGTGAAATAAAACATTTTGATGCGGACAAACCCCCCACCATTTATATTCTAAAATTTGTTTTTTAGAAATTAGCATGTTTCCAGTAAGGACATTTATTTTCCAAATGTGAACTCTATTTTTGCTGCTATTATTATTATTGTTATTGTTATTAAATATTATTTTAGATAAAATTGGTTTAATTCACAAAACTGCAACGAAAACATTTTTCTTCGCTTCACACAACCGGATGTCGCTGCCAACCAGAAGAAGACAACAGGAAGTGGTAGGAAGGCGAGGGCGCTGCATGTTTTTAAATGACTTAACGAGAATAAAACTTATTCATGTGTGATTATAATTGCGTTTTTTATTTAATGGAAACACCACAATTGCGAAATTTAGCTATTTTCCAACGTTAGCGGAATATTAACAAAGTTTTGCGCCCATTTGTAATGGAAATGCAGCTACTATTTGGTTAACAATCTGATCACTTGTTATTCACTGCAAAAACACAAAATCTTACCAAGTATTTTTAGTCTAGTTTATAGTGCAAACATTTTAGTTCACTTGAAATTATATATAACTAACTTACAAGTAACTTTTCAGCAAGACATCTGACATTTTTAAGTGAATAATTCCTTGATACTGATGAAAAAGCACTCGCATCACTGGCAGATTATTTCACTATAACTTGGGGAAAATGTCTTGGTACGAGTGGAACTAGTAATTTTTTAAATCATTATTAAGGAATTATTGACTTAAAACAAGCTCCTATATCTTGATGAAAAGTTACTTGTGAGTTAGTTTTGTTTTATTTCAACTCTTTGCACTAGAAACTAAATGGAAAATACTCAGTAAGATTTTGTATTTTTGCAATTTTGTCACCAGAGATGCAGCTGTAACCTCAGTTTCTATCCACAGGTGCTTTAAAACCAGACCTCCTGTAGCGTTTTTGTCCTTTAATAAACTCCCTTATGGCTGATTTTATTTTTTTATTTTTACCCTGGATGTGTTGCTTTTACGTGTATAGCCCCCCTTTTTAAAGGCTAATTTGTAAAATGTTTGTTCAGAAATGTTTCTGTGGGTGAGAACTTTAGCTGTAGAACCTTTTTGTCATATTATGTGTTTTTAATTGACCTCTAACCTTTATCTACCTGTGATTCCTCACTGTGATTCCAGCAACTGGGTTTTATTAAAACCAGGCTTTTTTTTTCTCTTTTGCTGTGTACTAAATTTTATGTACTATTAACATTTTCTTTCTTATATTGTAAGTTTAATTGTAATCAACTGTATGTATTCTGTAGATATAAATTACATAGTGTGATATTTCTCTAGTTAAATGAGTTAGCATTGTGTAGCCAGCCTGCGGGAAGCCATTGTCTTCCCAGCAGGCTTCTATAATCTTTGTGGCTGTTAGCATGTTATGGATTTTTATTCATGTATGATGATGGTAACCTACAAAGAAAAGCTGGCACCTGGATTATTATACTTCTGCAACACGTTCATAATAAAGACACAATGCATGTGACGCTTTTTCAGTGTTGTTTTGACAAGATAAAGAGCAGCAACAGCGCAGATGGAAGAGATTTTTGCTTTGAGCCTTGGGGATTTCTTCATTTTGTGCTCCACCTGTGTCCCTTACACACAAAAATGATGCTCATTTAAAGATCGCTATAGAAATATTATTTATTCCATCTTCTTTTAAAAAGGAAATTAATATGTTTAATCCTTAGCAAATGTATATTTTCCAAAATTTTAACTTGTTGTTCCCTGGCTAGTTTTAAAACTAATTGTGGTGTCTTAATAAAAAAATATATATATTTAACTCATTAACTCATGCACATCACAGGACTTTATAATTTAGTTCTACGTATTAGCAAGTACAGTCTAAGCATCTCATCTGATTTGGCTCAAATAAAATGTACTAAAATGTCTGAATTTTCAAAAATTTGAGCATTACATTAATAACACTGTAACCATATTAAAACAAATATCACATAAACCTATGAGTTTTTAAGGTACAATGTTCGTATGACATGCATTAAATGGAAAAACACCAAAGATCTTTGGGAATCTGGTTACTGCTCCTGTAAACAATTTCTAAAGTCTGGCCCAGATAATTTTTTAAATTTCAGTTTTGATATTTTTTTTACAACAAAGTATTAGAGGCCATCCTAATAAAAAATAAAAATTATGTAAAATTGCAAGAAGAAACACTACTACCTTATTCTCGAATTATTTCAGTTTTATTGCTAGAATATTATGATTTTATTTCTGGCATTTTATTTTTATTTTTCAGTGAATTCAAATTCAATGGCACTATGCATCTGTTTCCATTGACTTTGAAACTGCGCAAATTTGAATTACAAAAATAAATTTTCTTAATGGAAACACGGTTTTTCAACTGTATCTAAATTAGAGTACTTTACAAAACTGCAATGGAAACATTTCTTACGTCACGGGTCACTTGATCAACAACCGACAGAAAGAGACGAAGAAGACGACAATGACGACGTTTTTTAATGACGTATCGCGTGAACAAACGTATTCACGTGTGATTCAAATTGCGTTTCTTTAATGGAAACACCGCAATTGGGAAATTATGTTTTATAGAAACAAAGTTTTGCATTTGTAATGAAAACGCAGCCATTAAAACACAACTAAAAGTTATTCAAAAACACTCAACCTGTTCAAATTAGATTCTTCTACAGCCCATGCAACAGAAAAAGAAAATTCAACGAACAAAAAAAAATGTCAGAGCAAATGTGGGATATTTCCAGAGAGCTTAGCAAGCGAAGAGCAGATTGTCTTTTGCAATTATGCACACCAGACTAAGGAAAGTGGGTGAAGTATTAGTGTCTCTGTCTCTGTGACAGTGTTTAAGCTGCAGTGATGCAAAGCGCCTGCTGCTGCTGCTGGATACAGCAGAAGAAGGAAACGCTGCAGGGAGCGGCTCAGAGGCAGAGAAACTCGCTGATGATGGACTAATGAGAACCCGACTCTCGGATGACTTCAGCAGAAATCAAAGCTAAACTAGCTCTCATTATTTTCTCAGAGGGTTTTTAAAACGCTTAACGAAGCCACTGCAAGTGAAACCTGAAACATTCTTACTGAGTGTATATGTTTGGAAATGACCAACTATTGTTGGTCTAAAATGTATTAGTTCACTTGAAATAAAACTCACAAGTAACTTTTCAGAAAGACATGGGAGCTTGCTTTAGTTCTACTGACAAATTATTAAAATGTCTTATAAGTGAAATAATCTGCCAGTGGAACTAGTACTTTTCATCAATATTAAGAAATTATTTATTATTATTATTTATTTTATCTGAAAAATATCTTGACTTGGGAATTCAATGGAATTTTCTATAACAAAAAAGTAAAAACTACTAAAAACCTGCCTTTGTTATTAGAGCTACTTAAATACATCGGTTGGTTCTTTACAATTTTTAATTGGCAGATTATTTATCTTATAAGATGGAAAAATGTTTTGTTATAAGTGCAATAATCTCCCAGTAAACTAGAACTTTTTTTAATCAACATTAAGGAATTATTTACTGAAAAGTAACTTGTAAGGTAGTTTTTGTTTCATTTCAAGTGTATTAAGATATTTGCACTAGAAACTAGACCAAAATACTTGGAAATATTTGTATTTTTTGTGGTAAATATTTACTAAATCAACACTAGGCTGCACAGTGGAGCAGAAAGTCCTGGTTCTCGGCTGTGGCGCTTTCTGCGTGGAGTTTGCTTATTCTCTCAGGTATGTCACCTTCCTCCTGCAGTCTAAAACTATAATTATTTGGTTAATTGGTCATTCCAAAGAGCCTTTAAGCGTGAGTAAGTGGCCAATTAAGCACTTGGTTGCTCAGTGCTGGACTGTCAACCTACCCAGGGAAAACGCTTCCTGTTGTCAATGCTAATAAAAATGAACTTAACATTACAGAAGAAACATAGGGATAACCACCTGGATGCTAATAATGCAAGAAAATAACTGGATTGCAATGCTAACACAAAATATTGCACAAATTCTCAAATTTAGTCAAAACATGTAATAAAAAAATTTTATTTGGTAAAATTATGTATTCATGAGGAAACCTTAAAATGATAAAACCTTGCTAACTCAAACATGTTGCTGCTTTGAGTTACATGCTAATGCAAGACAACTCAATTAGCATACAGGGCCTGTTATAGCTGGGAAATAAATACTTTGTTAAAAAAAATATTATTTTGTTGTAATTTCTTCTAGACGAGAGTTGTAATTTTTTAATACCTTTCTTGTTTAAATTAGAATATATTTAGGTTTTAATGAGATGTAAAACTCATTCTATGTCAAGACGTGTTCTCATTTTAAGAAGATGCTGGTTCTGAATTTATTCCTTAGTTAATTGCTTTTATATTAACATGCTAATATGCCTAAAAAGAGTGTCTGGTACCACATAACGGTGACTATAAATATCATACTATATCTCCAAAATAGGATAGATAGAAAATTGAAAATGACAAATATGTTTTCACTTTTAGATTTTACCTTTAGGGAGGGGAACAAAAGTTAGGGTTACTTTGCTAAGATGTCAGTGTTACTGCTTTGCTAATTAAAGAAGCTAACATGATAGAAACACGTTGGCTAACATTTGCTAATTAGCATAAAATACTAAGCTTTTATTATGGATTCTGACAGAACTGTAAATGCACAATTTAAAAATATTATCTACATCCACAAATATACACAGCAAGTTTGCATTAAAGGTGGTGGGGGGGAAGCTAACCAATTCAATGCTGATAATACTTGAAGTTTCCTTGTTTGCAATTCTAAGCTAAAAGAAGATAAAGGAAATAATATACAGTAATATAATAAGATAAAATCAATCATGTGGAGAAGTGGCTTAACAAAGCAAAAAAATTATTTATAAACCAAAACTATGTAAAACTGAATTTGATTCTTTCTACATCTCTCTGTCATGCCTGGGTTCTTTCTAAGCATGACAAAAGTAAGTAAATTTTAATTTTTATAGCACCTTTTACAGAAAAAAAAATCACAAACTGCTTCGTAGATAAAAAAACTAAACCAAAGATAAACAGATAAAACTGTTTTGTTTCTGTGTTGCGACCTGTTCTCTCGCCCCAATAACCCCTGGAGATAAAATGTGATGATGTGATGTTTTGAATTTTTTTGGTTACAAAAATAAACCCACTGAGTGAATATGTTGTTAAATTTGTGTCACACGTCAAGAAAAAACCTGCTGACTAATAGCGAAAAATCTCAACAAGACTGACAGAAATAAAACCGCTCCACTAACATCTGACAACAACAATTCCTCCATCTACCACTTTTAACATTTTGACACTTAAAGTCATTTTTTTTGCGCTCAGCTAATTATATATTTTGTTTACAATAGACTCAGAGGGAAATCAGTACGCCCAACACGGTTACATCCAGATGCAGAAAGTGGGTCAGAGATTATCCAGCTGGGTCATAAATAAACACAGATGCTTGATTCAGCTTGCCATTTTTTTGGATGCTCTGTTGTCAGTCTGGTGAGGAAAACAACTTTATGTGCTGCTTACTTCCTTTGCCTTTACATGGAGAAACAAACCTGAATTTTTATTGTGAATTTATCCAGAGGAAGTAGGTGTAATTATTCTGGATTAAGAAAAATAGTAATCCAGCCAGAATGAGTCACTTTATTTAGACCAGTTGTTTAGTATCTGGTCTAAATAAAGACATAACGTTAATACAGCAGAGTTGCGTAATAAACCAGTTACATTTACTTAAGTAACTTTTTGGAAAATGTGTGTAACAGGGTTTTATTTTAACAATATTATAGATGTGAAGTTTGTCAAAATGTGTTTATTTATCCTTTCTATTTATTTAATTTAGTCGAGAAGTTGTTTCTCCAGACATTTTTTATTAGTGTATTAAGTTCCGTTACGTTGGTGGTTACCATAGCAACCTGTAACTGACAGCTCCGTCCCCTTTTTATGTTGCCGTTGGTAACTGTGATACACACCAGGAGCAGCTCTGTGTTTATTTTACAAATATGATGTTAAAACGTATATTTTAGACAAATTTAACCACATGCTGTATTTCATGAGTAACAATATAAAGTTTTGTAAACATTTTTAACTGTTATTATTAGTAATGTTGTCTGTTTTACCTATGTTTAATTTTACAATTGTTAGCCGCTGCTAACTGCTGTTAGCTGCTGATTGGCGGTTCTTGCTCTGTAGTTTATTTAGGGTTATTACATTTTATTTAATGTATAGAGGCAGAAGTTGCTGGACTGATGTTAACCACCAACTTGATTTCCTTTATGAAATTAGAGATTACCAAGGAAAAACCTGGTAACTGATTAACTCGTTTTAATTAATTACTATTAGTTTTCTAAAGAGACAGTTTGCTGTTTATTATAAAAATATGACAAAAAACAAATGCTGAGAAATGATATATTTCTCAGCATTATAATGCAGGGTTTCCTAAATAATCTCACAACCATTAAAAAGATTTATCACAATAACCCATAACTGAACCATCTTAATTAAACTTACTCATTATATAACTTTTCATGCTGTGCTAATAAAAACAAAATGAAATTTACTGTCATACTTTCAAGCATAATTTGCAATTTCCCTGCAGATCTAATTAGAAATCGTTGCAAAACATCAAAAGGGAACAACTTTGTAAATTACTTTTGCTTCCAACTAATCTTACTAGACAATAATTAAAAAGTAAATTTAGTTTTGTCATTCAAATACAAGTGTCTAACCTATAGGCGTCCAACAGGGGGCAGCACAAGCTGTGTGTTTATCAGGTTTTTGGTTGAGCGTCACATTTGCTCCACATGAAAAAGCGCAGACCGCGCAGTTACTGAGGATGACATCAATATGCTGATGAAGAGCTGACCTAATTTATTCTGTGTGCGGCGTCTATTTACTGTAAGTGAAAGAGACTGAGGTCATAAAGCTGATTCACGTACCTGATGGCGATCACAGACTGGAAGAAGATGAAAACATCAGCAGCATGGTGTAACCTCATATTGATGCGGTAAAGAAGCAGATTCAAAAATATTACGCATGTTAAAAGTACAGTGTAGTAAAACTACTCCTAAAAGTCAATTCTTTCCAAAGTTACTCAAATAAATGTAACTTTATCACCTATTTATGATTATTTATATATATAAATTTTTATTAGATAGTGATTCATTGCAATTAATTATTTACAGAACCTGTAATTAACTCGCATTAAAATTATAATCAAGTTGCACCACACCTTTTTCCTCCAGCAGAGTGTTAATGTATTTATCTAATTATGCATTTTAATATCGTTAATCACACATTTTGAACTTTGACTGTGTCTCCGAGTGACAGCATCTGGAAAGGACATATCGCCTGCGATGTAGTCGTCCAGAAATAAACGGTGACAGTGATGAAACATCAGCAGCCGACTCTTATTTCGCACCGAGCATCTTTCCCTCCCAGCGGGAAGAAGAAAACGCACAATAATCACAAACTGCAGCTGCAGAGAGGCTGCGTCTTGCTTGTCTGACTCGGCTCCTGATCCGGTCAGTCAGCTCTGCTTGTGACCGGCTGTGTTTTTACATAAACACTATGATGCACTGATGCTGACCTTTGACCTGCCCTGTCAGACAGAACAAACTGAGTTCATGGAAGATGAGTCTCAAAGTAAAACCTTAGGTGATTTCAGGTCAGATTTACAGTAAATGTATTTAACAGAATTATTTTTCTATTGACCGTTTGGACGTGACGCTCTGCTTCAGTATAACTTATTCTTTTACAAGGAGGAAGCCTGGTGCTTCCTTGGGAATAAAAGGAGAAATAAAGGGAATTGTCACATTTTAAAACATCCATAAGACGAGGGACAACAAGAAAAAGAAAATACCATTCAAAATGTGGTTTGAAGAACACAAACCTGTCTTCTCTACTCAACTGGTCACTGAAAATGAAAGCATCTCCCAAACACAGGAGATAGTGGATGAGCTATTGGAGACACAGCCACCTGAGAGGAAGAAGCTTTCATTTCAGGTCTTGTTGGAGTTACGCGCCCCCATTGACCAGAAGATTTCTCTTGAAATTACTGAAATGCAGCACGCTTCACTGACTTTTTATGAACCAGAACACATCCAGGCAGAGAATGTCCCTGGTGTCCCTGATGACCAAACCGAAGGAAATGTTCAAGAGGAGAATGACCCTGACGAACAAACCAAAGGAAATGTTCAAAAGGAGAATGACCCTGACGAACAAACCAAAGAAAATGTTCAAAAGGAGAAAGACCCTGACGAACAAACCGAAGGAAATGTTCAAAAGGAGAATGTCCCTGGTGTCCCTGATGAACAAACTGAAGGAAATGTTCAAAAGGAGAATGTCCATGGTGTTTCTCACAAACAAACCCACGTAAATGTCCAGGTAGAGAACGTCCCTGAGGTCCCTGACAATCAAACCTCCGAAGCTGCAGGCCACAAAAATCAAAGTCACAACAACGCTCAAATCCCCATCCCTTTGCTTTTCCCTTGTCCGTCAGAACCACAAACTTTACTTAAACTGATTGTCAACCTTCAACAGTACTTACATTTTCTTCTTCAAGAACTGTGGTAAACCATGGCATCGCTACCTGAGGGAATTGAAAAGAGAAACTTCTTGGAGAAAAACTATGAGTGCTGTATGACAGCTCCACCTGTATGAAAAGATGCGACTGCTTAAAGACTTGGAAGAAATTGCAAATTTGCCCAAGTCCCCAGAACGTCAAACAAATAAAGCAAAGTGTGAAACCAGATCTGAGGAGTGTGAATTGGGAGATAATGCAGTACAGCTGTACTGTAAATTTTTAATGTACAGTTGCATTGGGGGATATTTACGGGCTAGAGGCGAACTTTCACGGGCTGGAGGGCGGGCCAACAATAACTTTCACCTGGTAAGTACTATTTAAAAAAAAAAAAAACATTGTATTGCAGTTTTGTTTTTGTTTGAGTTTTTTTATGTGGTGATATTGAGCTACTCTCGCTTATTTGCTAAAGCTAACTTCGGTTATTTCTCAGCTAGCATCATAGGACTGTCAACGGTAACGCGTTAGCGTACGCGATTAACCTGAACATTTGCTGCAAATACTTTTTACAAGGTAAGAAGATTAACATTCATGTACTTTAAATGTGATTAGGAAGATGTCAAACACTGCAGTATGGAAAAGGCGCGTCTAACCGTTGGTAACCATGGAGACAACGAGGCACCGTCATGTAGCCTAGCATGCATGGAAAATAATGTTTAGTCTCGTCTTTTGTGCGTTTTTAAGGCTGCTCCGGTGTAAAGGTAAACTCTGTTTATGACGTAGTGATATAAATCATGTGGTGTGAATTCAGGCAAAGTCAGTAATTTGATTAACACGTCAGGAGGGAGAAGGTATGGGTCGGTTTCTAAGCTAGCTGTTTCCAACTTTTGTAAATACCGCCGTATATGAGCCACAACCAGGTGAGTTACGTTCACAAATTAGCTCGACTTAAACAAGTAGAAGCCACGAATAACCGGCAAAAAACAAGTTTGGAAAACAGTTTCAGTCGCTCCAGTCCCTCACTTCCGACGTCCATCATGGCGCCTCAAATGATTTAGTGACGTGGCTGCAAAGGGATCAGCGGGCACTGACATAAAATATTGAAAAAATGTCAAAGTGTCATTAAAATATGAATTTACATCTTTTACTTGAGCCCTTAAAGCTGTATGTAATTTTTATTAAAAATATGAAATATTTTCTAACCGTAAATAGCTGATCACCGGTCAGTCGCAGCATAGACAAAATAATTTACATAGTCTATTTAATTTTTGTTTTTATTTTTACACCCTTAATGTTGTTTTTAATTAATTATTTAATTAATTAATTTTGTATTCTTCCTCTGTCGCAACACTGTACTGGTGGTTTCAGGACGATTGTAAGGGAACGTGTTGTGCTTTTTTTTCTGAAATATATTAAAAATTTAAACAAAGAAACTTTATATAACACAGTAATCTATATATATTTTAAAAAGTTTAAGTTACTTTTTACTTCAAAGGAATTGTGTGGTATATGTGTTTTATTTTTTATTTTAAATAATTTTTTATCTAGTGTCTGTTTCCCAATGAATAAATCAACTCAAATGGTTGAATTTTTCTAAAATGTTCAATTTAAAATAAAAGATTTAATTTAGAAATCCTTACCAGAATTTCCAATAAACATGGAGTTTACTATGCATGTTGCTTCTCCACGTAGTTCTTTTGATTCTTTTAATTTCTGTTTTATAAAGTAAACGTTTTCACCTGTTAGAAAATATGTTGCAGTTGCAGGTCCGGGACACTAGGTGGCAGTATTTAGCTTTATTGAGTTGCCGCTGGGCTGTGCATAAACAGCAGAGGTTCACAGAGGCCACTTTGCAACCAGTTATATAAAGAAATGCTTTATAAAGAAACAAACAACAATCATGCCCACTTTCCAAAATAACAAATATTCAAAACAGTTAAAACACCAAAAGTATTTACATATTAACACCATTATTATTATTATTATTATTATTATTATTATTATTATTATTGTTAGCATTAGCCTCATTCATCACAGATAAAACCTGCAGCTTGGTAAATACAGAGGTATCACACAACACTGTTGTTTTTAAAACAATTCATCACTGATTTGTGTTCGACAAACAGGCTGATAGTGTCATTTATTAATTAAACTGCCGCCATCTGCTTTATTTTTATACATGTATATATATAAAAAACAAAGCATCGACACATAAATATCAGAGCTGACACGTCAAACAACTGTTACAGACGTCGAAATGCGAGTTAGAATAAAACTCTTCTTTTACTCCATCAACATCAAACATGCAAACGACTCACACGAACCATCGACATTAAAAGAGCCAATTATCCTATCAGCCTGGGCCCAGTGACAGGCAGATCAATAGATGGGGAACGTCCGGCAGGATTAAGACCACTTGGAAATCTCTGGAAGCATCAGGGAAGAAAAGAAAGTTATTGCCAGGGACGTCAAGATTTAATGTCAGGAGTTAATGGAAATAACTGACAGGATTTAATAAAAGCAAGCAAAGCTGGCTGGAAGTCAAACTGCAGGATAATTAAAACTCCCTCCCTGTTCTCACACACACTACATGCAGGATTTCTTGTTAAATCAGATCAGATTGAAGCCTTTAGATTCTCCAGACAGACATGAACGTCTGCGAATGTTTTTAAAGGGGACCTATTATCCAAAATTCATTTTTTCCACGTTTTTATTCTTCCACACTTCAAAAACACAAAATCTTACCAAGTACTTTTGGTCTGGACTGTTAGAGTTGCTTTTGAACCAAAATAAATGGAAAATTAACCAACATATTCGATGTCTGTTCTTGGTTTTCACAACTGTTGACCATATGTCGTGTTTTTAATGTTTTGTTTTATGTTTTCACAATGTAAAACACTTTGAACTGCCATGTTGTTGACATGCCCTGTACTATAAACTTGATTGATAGTTGATTGATGTTCTAAAAACAACCCAAGCGATTAAAAAAAAAAAAGACATCCAGCTCATTTTAGGCAGGGTCTACGGCCACTACGCCGTTACCTAGCAACCCCAGCGGAACTCCGCCTGTCACCTAGCAACCAAAGCAGAGCTCCTGCTGGTTTTACTGCTTTATAATGGCTGCTGGAAAAGCCAAGTGTTTTGTTGTTGACTTACCATCAAGAAACCACTTGCTGCATTCTTCTTGGTATAGTTGTATAATTGCGCGTCTGCTTGCAGCCATTTTCACTTGCGAGTGTAAACGTTAAGTTGGGGGGCAGGCGTGGATTTAAAGTGACAGGATGCCCTGAAACAACTCATTCTTAAAAGACCTCATTAAAAATCTCATTATTTTGTGCAAACAATGTGATGAACAAGTTTTGTGTAGACCAGAGACCTGTCCTCACCTGATGAAGGAAGCATAATAGGTCACCTTTAAATTAAGTCCATCTAGCTCAAATGTTAGGTTACTGCTGCTTTCAGTCAGCAGGAAATGAATCCATGGCAGTCATGCAGGACGTGCTCAGCGCGTGCGGCAAATCGTCTCGGTTTCACTCCTGCACCGTGGAGCCGGGCAGCTCGTTGGTCAGGGTGTGCCAGCGCTCCACCTTCTGGCCCTTGTTCTTCAGACAGTCGATCCAGTGCTGCAGAGCGTCGCCCTGCGAGTGGCAGCCGAAGGAGACGCCCCCTAACCAGAGCAGAGACGCAGAAGAAGAGTTTTCAAACCCAGAGACGAGGGATGTGTAGAGGCTCAGGTATAACCTCTAATGATGTCATCAAAACGTCCAAAATGTCAAACCCAGACACGTTGTATTCAATAAATTAGAATATATGTCCATGAGATTAAAAAAAAACTTTTAAGCAAGTATTAAACATACTTTCTGATTTTAAATATATATATAGTTTTTTATAGGTTTCTAATTTTAAATGTAATGATTTTATAGCTGAAAGTTACAATGGCGTAATAAGGCCATAATAATAAAAATTAAAAAATATATGAAATTACCAGAACAAAGTCAACAAAGTTATAATATTATGAGAATAACGTAAAAATTACCAACTTTATTCTAACAAGTAATTTACTGGTAACTTTTGAGCAAAATACAGAAGTTTTCTGTTGTCTATAATTCCATAATATTAATGAAAAAGTTCTAGTTCAATTATTATATAAATGTCTTATTATAAGTGAGATATTCTGCCAGTGGAACTAGTATTTTTTAAATCAATATTAAGTAATTATTGACTTAAAATAACCTCCTATATTTTGCTGAAAAGTTACTTTAAGTTAGTTTTGTTTATTTTAAACTAAGATATTTGCACCAAAAACTAGACAAAAATACTTGGTGATATTTGAGTTTTTTGCAGTTTGTTGCTGTGAAATGTCTCTGCTGCCCAGAAATTGAGCTGTTGGCAAACAGCAAAAGTCTTCAGTCAGAGGCCTCCTCAGATTTGTTGCATGACTGACTGCTACTGGAGATCAGTTAGTTTCTTTCTGGGATAAATAATTTATTTTTTAATTGAGTTTATCAGGATTTTGACCATAAGGTGCTGAAATAGCAGTAAATATTTCAGCAGTAAAACAAAAATAGACTTTTTTAGTTGTAGAACTAAACTTGTATTTTTACGAGGCTGAAATGCAATACATGATTTGGAAGAAAATATCAGTCTGATTTTGAATTATTTTTTTTAGTACCATTAATATTTTCTCTTGTTTGCATAAATAAGTAACAAGTATGAAATGTCTGCCCCTAGATTTAAAGTCTAGAAGTTGAAAAATGTGAACAGGTTCAACATGCAGAGCTTAAATGTTGAAAGTGGAAATTACAAATTAAATATTAATAAGTGAGGTTGCCCTTGTCACCTTCGCTGACGGATTGCACACCATGAAACTCTCCCCAGCGGCTCTATGCAGATGCCCATGGGCATTCACTATTACTTGCATTACATCACATGAATATATTTCAATTGCAATGAGATCCGTGTGCAAATTTAGAACCAGACCAGGAGCGTCATTCGACACAGAAACACTGTTTCCTGAAAGCTACGCAGTGATGAGCTGTTTTATACAATTATTTACCTCCAGTGTTGTTAAAAATCTTTCATTTGTGAGATTCTTTTAAAGATTTTAAACACCATCTGCCTGCATCTATCACTGACATGAGACTTGATTTACAAAAATGTCTTTAAGTCACTGAAAAATAAAAATAAAGAAGAGGTCAGATTGTATGAGGGGACGTTTGTAAAGTTACACAGTCAATAATTAACCATAGAAATACCCGTTATGTAACGAGTAATGAGAAAAGATGGGAGGTCATTTTTTAAAGTCATATTTCTAATTAATTTATAAATATCACAATTTCAAATAAATATTTACCTCCAAGTAAAATATTTAGCTGACTAAGTATTTTGTTATCCAGCTAACTAAATACTTAGTTAACTGGATAACTAAGTATGAAGAATAAAAATAAAACTAGTTATGGATAAATAGCCAGTCAATATTTAGTTAGCTGGCTAACGAAACAGCTAAATATTTAGCTAATAAACTAAATAAACTAAATATTTAGCTTCAAACTAATTATTTGGCTTCAAATTATTTATTTTGTTAGTTAGCTATAAACTAAATATNTATCTNCAAACTAATTATTTGGGTAGCAAGCTAAATATTTAATTTGATGGTAAATATATACCTCTAAACTAAATATTTAGCTTAAAACTAAGTATTTATGTAGCAAACTAAATATTTAGCTTGAAAATGTTTTATTGTATGACAAGCGAAATTACTCACATTATTACTAATTTTTGTGTAACTTTACAAAGTGAACTCCACAGATTTGGCTCCAATCTCTGCAGTAGAAATCCTTACAAAAACATGTCTGAAGAAGTAAAGGCAGGAAAATATATTTACAACACAAATAAATGTGATCGCTTACACCCAGTAGCCTGTGGTAAGTTTAAACGAACCGACACCCATCTGGGTTTTACACAGAGCTCCACTGCTCTGTGTTAACAGCTAATTCAGAACATCCTCAACATCTAGTGTTGTACATGAGGCTATTAGAAAGAATTATACCTAATAAGACAAAAACACCTTTATTATTATTAATCAGTGTTTCTGTAATGAACTCACCTATGAAGTCGTTGGACTTCCCCAGGTCGTAGTCCCAAACTGTGACCTCTAGTGTCTTAGAAGCTAACTCTGTGAAGGAGATCTCATAGAAGAACTCCTGGGGAGAAGAAAGAGGCCAGAAGGTCACAAAATATTCTCTAAAATTAGGTGGAAGATGAAAAGAAGCAAACTCTGAAATCAAAAGCGCCTGTCTCAGTTACACACACAAACATGGAGGTTACCTCATTAAACTCTGGGTTGAGAGTCTTTTTTATGACGGCTGTTTTGTGTTTGGATTTCTTCTGGACATCTGGCTTCAGGTACCTGGAACAGACAAACATGACAACGACTGATCCTTAAGATTCAGTAAGATAAGTTTAGCATAAATTTAGAGACGATCAGAACAGTTGCACAACTATTCAACCATTAGCTTTTCTTGTGTTAGCTTAGCTTTATTGTTAGCTGGATTAACATGGCTACTATATTACATATATTAGACAAACGGCAGTAAATGGTTAATTTACCATTTTTTTTAATCTTTTATTAGATTAGCTATTTTACATTTCATCTTGCATTCACTATTAGCTAATTATAATGCACATAATTAGCTTCATTATTATCATTGCTAAATGAATGCATCAATTTAGCTACTACACGAGGTAATCTTGCAATAGCACTGCGATTATATGAAATGCTTTACTATCTCTCAAATTAGCCCAACTCTTACATTAGCCACATTAGCTTCTCTTTTATAAGGTTAGCTAATGTATTAGCTTCATTAACTCTTATTTTAATTTAGAGATTGCATTAGATACATGATCTCTTTTTATGTATATCTAGCTATTGAATTAGCTACACTATCTAATTTTACACAATTTTAGCCGTTGTATTTTACCTATGTCAACCCAACACCTACAGTATATTAACTATTATAAATTTATTAGCTTACATATTTATTATTTTACTTTTATCATGGGGAAAAATGTCTTGTTATAACTGAAATATTCTACCAGCTGAACTAGAACATTTTCATCAATATTGAGGAATTAATTATTTAAAACAAGCTCCTGTATCTTGCTGAAAAGTTACCTGTAAGTTAGTTTTGTCTTATTTCATGTGTAATAAGATATTTGCTTTAGAGACTAGATGAGTTTTTTGCAATGTGGGTAAAGTATTCAAAAACTTTAAGCAAGAAAGACTGGCGACATTTCATTAAATAAAAATTACTCAAGTAAAAGTAAAAAGTACAGCGTAGTAAAAATAGTTTTAAAAGTTTTTTTTCCCAAAAAAAAGTTTCTAAAGTAACTAGTAACTAGTTATGTTAAGACTTTATTTGAAGGGTTGTGCATAAGACTATGTTTATGACTGCAGCCATAAAGTATCTTTTAGTAAATAATGACAATTTTAATGCAAAATTCACATTAAAAGTCAATTAAAAGTGTTAATGTTGCACATCCCTTCAAATAAAGTGCTATCCTAGTTACTACCCAACTCTGTTTAAAACACCAACTCTCAAAAAAAAAAAGCCAAACTAAATTAACTTAGCATGTTAAATAGTAAAGAAGAACCAACTCTTTTCTCTCAGCAACACAGCACAGACTTGCAAACAGCAGCAGCGTTTGCAGGCTGTCATTAAATTCGCTGGATATTTTTGAGCCAGCTGGAAGGAGAATGGCAAAAAATCACTATTCACATTTGCTTTCCACCCACCACCCACAGCTCAGGATGCGTATGTTCCCACACGCTCTCAGACACAACAAAGCATCTGGGAAGAAGCTCCCGCCAAAGGCCAGAGATGTGAGCATGCATGTAAAGCAAAACGCAGGTGCATGATGGGACGAACGGCGTATCAGATGGGTGTGAGAAGGACGAGTGGGTTTGGGTGATGCTGAGAAGATGGTGAGAAAACTTGATGAGAAAGAAGAAAATAGAGAAAACGGCAAGACAAACTGCAGTCCTCTGCACTGTACGGTATCAGAAATTATACATTTTTATATTTTAATCTTACTTGTTAGTGTAAAACCAGCTAAAAAGACAAAGAACAAACATTTTACTGTCTAAATACAAACATTGGTTTGTAGTTCTAATTTAGGACCTTTTATCAAACAACGAAACAATTTTGGAGGAGTTAAGAGTTAACATTTCAATAAATGTATGAGTTTAAGAGATGTAAGAAATTAGCTATTCTTCCATTAGCTAACTTCTTATATTAGCATCACTTCACTTGTTTAGCTTGGCTTATATGTTAGGTATATTAGCCTTTATGTTAGCTGCTACTATATGATACTTTATTAGTTTTGCTATTTTATAACTTATCCTTTAGCATTAACTCAATGTTTATATTAGCTGTGTTATCTATCTTAGCCCTATGCTGCTATGAAATATAGCCAGCCTACGTATAGTAGCGTTAAATTTTATATTAGCTACAAAAGCTTCCCCCACATTAGCTTAGCTATATTAGCTTACTTTAAAATATTATTGATAATCGTTGTCAGGAAGAGTTAAAAGCTGGTTGTGACGTGATTCAGACCTAAATATCTGCACTAACTCTTATTTTCTTTGTAAAATTAAAACTCTCTAGATAGAAACAAATGTAATTTAAGCAGAAAATGTACATTTGAAGCATGCTATTGCTGTGTTTTAAACTCTTCTACTCATGCCAACAACCACCTCAAAGCCACAGCAGCAATCACCAGCCAGTGACAACACAGAGGGGTTTTACATCTCATTCGTTCACGTTCTGTCAAGTTGCATAATTCAGCTGAAGGACCTTCCTGCCCTCCCTGGTGGAGCCACTGACACACACACACAGCAACGCTTTCCTGTCGTCAGTGAGTAATGAAACTCCAGACGACCTCATGACACCAACAATATCTCTATAATCTGATTCCCCTTCTGTGGTAAAACACATCCCAAAGATGATACTCTGAGCTGGAGATCAGCGCATTTTTTAAGACGTCAACAATGACACCTTTATATTTGAGTAACATACATTTTAAAATGGCTTCCATGTACGGAATGATAACTTGTCACCATTATCCTCAGTGGAGTTAACTCAAAGCTTAAAAAATGGCCACAAAATGTTATCTAGCGTCTTCCAAAGGCCTCATAAGACCAAAACATGAGAGGCGATAAAACAGAGCAGGCTGGAGGATTCATCCTGAAACGGGTGTGAACTGTCAGAGCATCAATCTATGCTGGACATCTGGTACGCAACACCAAAAACCCCAGACGGCCTAAATAGTTTGGACTCAGAGCCACAAAAACTGGACATACAACGTCGATTACAGCGTCAAAGACTTGGCAACTAAAAGTATTCATTCACCAGAACAGACCAATTACACAAGAAGAGGTGAAACAGTTTGATTAAATATTATTAAAAGGAATTTAAATCCTATCTTCAATGGATAATTCCAACTTCTAGCATTATTTTCCCTGAATTAAAGTCTCTACACTGTAAAAAAAAAAAAAAAACTACAAATATTACCAAATATTTTTGGTGTACTTTCTAGTACACTGGTAATAAAACAAAACTAACTCACAAGCGGCTTTTCAGAAAGATGCAGGAGTTTGTTTTGGGTCAATTATTCTTTAATATTGATGAAAAAGTTATAGTTCCACTGACAGAATTTCAATTAAAAACAGATATTTTTCCCATGCAATGTGATTTTAGTTTTCTACATTAAAGGGATCTATTATGCAAATTTCACATGTTCATATTTTATTTGGGTCTCAAATGCTTCCTTGAACAGGTTATGATAGATCTATGAGCTAAACAAAACATGCTAGTAACATTTTTTTACACAAAATCATCCTTAGATTATGAGATTTTATTTTAGAGTGTCTTGTCATTTTAAACTCGCAGGTGAAAATGGCTGGAAACAGATGCGCAATTATGCAACTGTACATCTTTAAAAAGCATTAGTAGAGCCTCCTGCACAATCGAAAAGAAAGCAGAAAGTGGTTTCTGGATGGTTAGTCAACAACAAAACGCTTTTCTTTTCCAGCAGCCATTGTGAAGCGCATACAGCGGTAAAAGGTAAAAACTAGCTGACTAAACATTCTTGGGTTGCTAAGTAATGGGGGGAACTCCTCTGGGGTTGCTAGGTAACGGTGCAGTCCCTGTGGAATGTAACTTAACAATTGGGAGGTTTTTGAAGCGACTCATTTTCCAGAGACCACAAAAAAAAAAAAAAAAAAAAAGACATTAACTTGTTGCCAAAAAATGGTTGAGTGTTTATAGAAGCAACTGAGACTCAAATGGAAGTTCAGAAATGTGCAAAATGTGAATTTTGAATAACTGGTTGCCTTTAAATTTGTCCTATTAGTTTTGTTATTTAAATAGTTTTTGTTTGATTTATTGATTGCAAACAACTGATATTTTGCATTTTTTCCCCAATAAATATACTTTGTTGTAGTTAATTTTAGGTGTAACTGTAAATACACAGGGTGCCAAAGGCGACCAACCCAAATTTAACCTGATTTAGACTCATTTATGTAAATGGCTACCACAGAAACATCTAGATCCAGGTGGTTGTATTAAAACTTATTGTTCAGATTCTGGCTTACATTTTGTTTTCATCTTGACTATCAGTAGCAGCTGGGGACATGAGACATTAAGCAGTCAGTTCGTGAACATGTTGAGCACAGGGGAGTTGGGCAAGTGCAAAGACCTGACAAATGCCAAATGGTGAGCCAGATGACTGGCTGGGCCGCCTCTGACAGAAAACGGATTTTGGGTTTTTTCCAGGCAACAGCTCGTCACAACGGTGAACTGAGAGGGAATATAAATCAAAAACTAGCAAAGTTTAGCCAGAAACTGGTTGTGCCAGAATGTATTGATAAATCGCATTAGTAAACAACTAAAATATCAATAAATATCTGTCTCTGCATTCAATAAGTACTTCTAAAAATTAAATAATATTGAATATCATTTTACATTTATCAGTTCCTCCAGGATTTCACAATTGTTTTTGTGATTTTTTTGTAATAAAAATCAAATATTTTGTGGTGCTAACTTTGAATTATTGATGATGAATGTGACTTTTTGTTACTCGCCGTATTGATTATGCACTATAACTTGAGATCAAGAAAGGCTGAGGAAGCAGAGTAGGAGAAGTAAGAAACACTGCCACCTGCAGGTGGGAGTTAATATCACTTATGACAGTGTATTAGGGCCGTACTAAAAAAATAAAAAATAAAGTCATAATAATATGAGAAAAAAGTCATAATATTACGAGAATAAAGTTGTGATAATAAACTTAAAATAATGTGAGAATAAAGTCATAGTATTGTGATAATAATTTCCTAATATTGCAAGAATAAAAGTGCTAATAATATGAGAATAAAGTTGTAGAATTAACATAATAAAGTTCAAATATGAGAAAATGAAATTGTAATATTAGAATTATATCTTATATTCTCGTGTCATCTTGACTTTATTCTTGCACATCTTCATTTCCACAATTTTATTGTTTTTATTTTCTGAATGTGGCCCTAACGCATTTAAATCACATTTATGCATCAGCACAAAAAATGTGAGCATTTGTCCATTTAGAGTAAATTTACAAAAACCGGAGGGATTGATTGAAGTAATTTGGCAGCATAAAGGTAAAAATTGCTTTGATCCAGGTGGTTTTGAAGCAAACAATATGTGTCCCTCTGCAGCCTAGAGCAGTGTTTTTCAACCACTGTTCCGCGGCACACTAGTGTGC